CAAAAGAGCCAGGCAGGAAGAAGAGCAAGTTGGAGGTAGCAATGCATGATGCTGCACTGACTTGCTAACAAGCTAAGAACATGCTTTCCAAAGCCACAACTCTGGTAGCCTTCACCCACACCCACACTTCATGTCAGTGACTGCAGAACCCTCATTTACACTTGAAGATTCTTAGGCTCAGGAAGACAAAAAGACTTTGCCAATGTTCCAGAAATTGGGAAGAGAGAACTGTAACCCATAATCTTCATCTTAATTGAATACTCTTGTAGAATGACTTCAAATTTATCCTATGTCCCTCAACCATGTGTACCCAGGGTTTTTTTTAATCATGGATTTTTATATTGTTGTTAGAGATGCATTTATTTCCATGTTTCTTGGTGTTAATAAACATAAAGGAGTGGTAGCAATCTAATTGGCAATCGTGCATTTTTAAAAACCACCAATGGCTTGGATCTCCTTTGCTGACTTCTCTGGAGGTTTTGGGCATACATTGGAGACTTATTCAACTAAATCAAGGGAAATCTGAAACTCCAATGATAAGCAGGCTAACTATTGCCTTGTTTGTGCATTCAAGATTTACTTCCTGTGCAGTCATTCACTCTGCATCACACCTCACCTGTCCCTAGGAGGAACTAAGACCACACTGCATATTGGACACTACTCGCGGTCCCACAATTGCCATGCCTCAACCGAGTTGACAACAAGTTCTGCTGGCTTTCCCACAATGATTCATCCACAGACAGATGATTTCATGCTTTCATTTACTCTAAGATGTGTGGGTGGAAAAAGAGAAAGAAAGCAAACTTTGTTTCATGATACAAAGCCCACTGGTTTGGAATTCATCAAGGAGTGCATAATTTTCTTCTTTATTATAAGAAGTTTCAGGGCCTGGCATGGTAGCCTAATGGATAAAGTGCCTCACCTTGCATGTGTCGGGATCCCATATGGGTGCAATATCCTGACTGCTCCACTTCCCATCCGGTTCTCTGCCTGTGGCCTGAGAAAGCAGTCCAGGATGGCCCAAGCTTTAGGACCCTGCACCCACATGGGAGACCCAGAAGGCTCCTGACTTCAGATTGGCTCAGCTCTGGCCATTGCAGCCACTTGGCAAGTGAACCAACAGATGGAAGATCTTTCTCTCTGTGTTTCCTTCTCTCTGTATATCTACTTTTCTAAAAAAAAAAAAAAATAAATCTTTGAAAAGAAGTTTCAGTCCCATTCTTTCCAAATTCCTTAAATTCTGATCTACCTAGAAATGCCAAATTCCAAAATAACTGTCTCCTACTGTCCAGAATGTGGGCCTGTAGCTCTTATTAGATAGAATCTTAGAGAAGTGAAGAAGGAGGATCAATGTACTACAGTTGGTTAACCCGTGCCTGCAGTGCTGCAGTTGAGTCCCAACTGCTCCACTTCTAACTTAGCAACCTGCCTATGAGGGAAAGCTGGGGCAAATGGTACAAGTGCTTTGGTCCTCCTGCGTCCCATGTAGGAGACAAAGACGAAGCTCCTGGCCTTGCCATTGTGGCCATTTGGGGGATGAGCCAGTGGCTAGAAGTTCTGTCTTTCTCATTCCTTGTTTCTTCCTTCCCTCTGTAACTCTGCCATTCAAACTAATTACTTTAAAACACAAAACAAAACAAAAAAGGAAAAAAAAAATCCCAAAGAAGAGTGAAGCAGGCTTCAGGCTTGTAGAGCAGAAGTGAGCCTGCTGGATGCTGTTAGCACTAAAAGTGGTATTCACTATCTGCAAATTGCCTCATTGCGTTGCATTAAAAAAAGGGGAGTATTCTTTAAGAGAAGTCTATTTCTAAGTACAGAGTGGGTTATTTGATAGAATCAGTGTTGTCGGTTTCGAATGAGAGGTTCCTAAACTGCAAAGTCTGGACACATAAGCCTTGAACTCCAACATCTTTTTGTTAGCATTGATCAGAACCAAGTGATCTTGGTAACATGAAGCAGAGAATTGAGGCAATTATCTGATCATTCAAACTCAAGGAAAAAAAACTTCAGCTTCAATTATCCAGGAAGTGCCCCAATTTTCTACTCAAATCCTAGGAGTCTAAGTCTGACAAAAGCTTTTCATTTTCAGGTTTCTTAAGAGTAAAGCTAATTGAGTCGCCATCGGAATATGTTGGAGCTTTGTATATATTTAGTGAGTGGTTTCCAGGTCACTAACCACATTTTCCCCCCAGGAAACGAATTTGGGAATTCCTTTGAATCTTTAGCAGCTAGCTCCAACAGAAAATTAGCCTAAGCCTTTGTGCAAGTCTCAGTTGCATGGTCTCCATCAGAATAGTGCTACAAGTCTGCAAGAAAGGCAAGCACCAGCTTTTGTCCAGAGGTACCAGGGGCAAACAATAAGCCCCCCAAGGGGAAGCGCCCCAGGATGTTAATCTACAGCTCTGAATTCTACAGAGGTTAGCAACTCTACTTCCAATGGGAGTGTTCTTAAGATCCTAGTGGGGGGGGGGGCATGTGGACAGCAGGGAGAAAAAACAAGGTTCAAAAGGATATCAACATGCTGTTAGGGAGGAAATGGCAGAGATGCCAGCACCGATGAAGGGCAGAGGTAAAGCTTCAATCTGCCCAAGACAGAAGCAAGACAATCGGCTTCCAATTATGCCCCTCGTTGTTGGTGGGGAATTCATCTGTGTCCTCTATGGCAGTGGATACCTCAAGGAGTCCAGGATACAGTCTCTTTTCGCTTCTCAGTGTGTAGTAAGGGCCCCTGGGGGCCCCAGCTGCTCTGGAATGCAAGGCGTGCCCAAACACAACTCATCCCGCTTGGGGCCATTGCCTGGTGCTGTTTGCACTTGAATTTACCCAGGCTTCCAAAGAAATTACAACTGCATCTATAAACCTACTGGGGAGTCCAAATGCATGAAAGGCACCAAAGGGAGAATATGAAGTGATGGGCACACTCAATGCAGGGTCCAAGCTTCCAGCTTACCTGAACACTAAACCAAGAGGCTATGGATGAGCCTGGGGACTCATTTTGTGAAAACTGGTTCAGCCTTGGAAATTAAGTTTCTCAGGAGTAGGACCACAATGAGAATTTTTTTTTTCCCCAGCTGCAACATCATTTGGGTATCTAATGCCAGACTTGCTAGCTCACAGGACTTTTGTAAACCATCTTTGTAATGCTCTTAAAAAGGCAATGAACTTTGAGCAAAAGGCCAGAGAATAAATATTTAAGACTGAGAGCAGCACAGTCTCCTGAGAAGAGTGTCCATTTTTAGCAGAAATGAGCCACAAGAAAATATACAGATGAGTGTGGCCGTCACTTCAGGCATAAACATGGAAATTTGAATTTCACGTAGTTTTCATGTCATGAAGCAACCTCGCTTTTGTGGTTGCTGCTTAGGCTTCTGTTACCTTGTAGGCCGCACAAAATAGGCAGCTGGCTGGACCTGGCCAACAGCCATACTTTGCAGACTGCTGTCATTAAGGGCTGGGAGGCCAACATTGCTGCTACCCACTGAAGTAGTACAGCGTTCGGGGAAATGGGCGGTGTTGTAGAGCTGTATTAACCACATTTCCTGCAATGTACGATGTTTTAACATCCTCGGAATTTTTCTGGTCACCAGAGAATAGATCTCCCAGGGGCTGAAGTGCTAGGCCAAATAGAGTAACCCTTCTAGGCAAAACAGCCAATCCTACAACCTCCCTTTTTATAGGATTCTCATTCTTTAAGCCAATATAGAAATTCACCTAAATCATTCCAGGCTGGGTGCTAGGACCTAAGAGGCCACCTTATATAGCCCAGAGCCTGATAAAAGTATTCAAACCTGTCAATCCTGAACCAGCTGCCTTGCCCTGCTGTGCCACCCTGGATGACCCAAAAGAAGCTGTTCATGGCCTGGTCTCTGTTCTCACTGCTTCTCCTCCAGCCCAACACTGCTGTTTTCCCAAAGCCCTTTCTTGTGTGATGTGGTCTGCCTGTCTTCAGACAGTGCAGTAGAAACCTTCCCGTGTCATTCCCTCTGCTACCCCTAGGAAAGCAACATCTCCGGGGGGACCAAGGAGACAAGAGAACCTGAACTCCAGTTCACTTCCCAGGACAGCAGCATCAGCACCCATGGGGGCCCCACCCCAAACCTCCAGGACCCAAAGCTGCAGGTAAGCAAGGTGTGTGAGGAGCAATTTGAAGTTCATCATGGAGACTGAGTCCCTGCCTGGCGCCATTCCTTCTTCCTCACAGCTCACAAAATTTGTGCTGGTCCAGCCGTCCACTAATCGGATGTAATCGACATTTCACTTGAGAATGCCACCCCAATCTCCCAACTCTGCCCACTCACCAGTCATCCCTAGGCATTCACGTGCAGGCACCAATATCCTGGGGCTTGCCCTCAATTCCTCCCAACCCCGCCCCCAACGCCTAGCGGGCTCACCTTAGCCTAAGGGGCCCCAGGTGTCTCCATCTACCTTTTTTTCCTCCTTGCTCTACCACTCCATCACTCTGCTGGAATAAACCTCCTAAGCTAACCTCATTGTGTCTGGTGTTTTCAGCTCACGGTGAAGAACCAGGCTGCAGGAATTAGCTGTGTGTAATATCATAAGAACTAAAACTTCAACTGTTTTAAATAACTAACAAGGTGGTTCATAAGCATACTGCAATTGCACATGTCATGGTGGTGGGGCATGCAAGTTTGGGCTCTATAATCAGTAGGCCTAGTTCAGACCTCGGTGCTTCTCATGAGCCATTTGGCCTCAAGCAAATTATTATTGTACAACCGTCCCCACACCTACAGAAGTGAGGCCGAGGATGACATAATACATGCTAAATCGTAGGAATAAAAAAGCCCGGCAAATGGTATTTGTTCATTATGCCTCATTATCCATCTTTAGATAATAAATGCCCCAGGTACACACCCCCTTGATGCGATTCCTTCAGTGACACCCATTTCCAGCCACGGTATCTTGAGGTGAAGTACCTTGACCACACAGTTGCCCCACCCAACAATCCATCCAGAAAAGAAAAAGACGCCACAACTCCTGACTGCAGAGTGTAAAATATATTGATTGCTGTAAAGGGACGACTTGGAGACATCTGAGGTCTGCTGGGATGGCGCACAGCATACAGGCATGCTCTGTTTCTGGAAACCATGCCATTAAGTTTGGAAATGCATTTCTGTTTGACACATGGTGTTTTTGTTTTTCTGTTAGCATAGAATACTACTCTACAGTTTCTCCTAGAGTAAATACATATCACGGCTGTTGGCAGAGCAGCTGCAGACTCACTTAGATGTTTAACAAGATCACTGTGGCACCATGAAATCACCCATTCACAGCAAGGTGTTTCCCATGGGTTTGGTTCACTGCTGCAGTGGCGGGCGGGGGAGGGGACGGGCTACCTTTCCCAGTGCTCCCTTTGTGTACAGGTTGGTCTCCAAGAGACTCCACAAGTAATGGAAAAATAAGAGTCAGTTAAAAAAAAATTTAAGTTGTCATTAGGTCATTATACTGTGGGCTTTTCAAGACCCTTAAAGTCTGATCATTTAAAGTTACAAGGAAAAAAATAAGACATTCATTGAAAATGAAACACAACAACAACAACAAAAAAAGACTGAAAAATGCTTCTGTAGAACATAATGGTCCCTTGTAAACAACTCAGGAGGGTGACGACAACCAGCAAGTCCTCGCCTGGTAAGCAGTCCAACGACAAACTCTGCTTTTTGCTTGTCTTCTGTTTCGTTTCGTTTTTGTCCTAGTGGCTATTTTCCTACCACAGTGTTGAGCTTCATTATTATATTAAATAACTTATATAGGTACAAAGGAGTTTGCTAACCAGCAGCCAACTCAAAACCTTGTAGGAAGAGGGAGGAGAGGAATTCACTGCACAGCAATCAGGATGGGAAGCAAGGTCCGCAGGCAGCATCCGGCTCCCGTGGCCGGCCCTCTCTGCCAAGCCGCGCCAGCTAAAGGTTCCAGATCGGAATGGACAGTGTTTTTCCCCTCCCTCCTCTCCCTTTTTCATTTAAGTTAACAAAGACACATGGGCTTTCTAAGGTAAGTCCCATTAGCAGCAAATGTTCAACCAAAAAAAAAAAAAACCCACACACAGACAAGACTGCATCCAGGTGCAGAGCTGTGATTCACATGGAAATTCCAGGCGGTGAATCATGCGCACAGCCAGCCCGGGGAGAAGTCTTTCTTAAGTGTCTTCCGTAGAACACTGCTGTGTCTATCTGTGGGCTATGGGGAATTCGGGTCCTCAGGAGCTCTCTGTCAAGGAGTGTGCCGGCTTTGCTGAAGGTGGGGTCTTTCCTGATTGTTCTGGAATGTGATGCCAGAAAACCAAAGGCAGCCCTTCAGGGATCTACAGCATTCCTCAGCAGCAGCAGCAGCAGCAGCAGCAGCAGTGCGGCAACAATTGTCTCCCATTTGTTAAACTCTACCCAAGAGGCTGGACCTGCAAGATACAGAAGAGGGTCTTCAGAACTGGCAGACGATGTGAACTCAACTTAAAGTGACTTGCTGACTACTCATTTCATCTTTCCTGTTTTCAGTCTGAGTTTACATGGTTAAAGGAGGAGGAGAAGTCAAGCTTGGAAGTCCTATTGGCCCTTTAGGAAAATGGCCCAACGCTGAAAACAAAGAGCAGGGAATGGCAAAAGCTCTGTTTATAGATAACACATGTATGATGAGGGGTTTTATTTATATTAAAACACAAATGATGAAAAGCATTTTATTATACACCGGCTTGATTTACAGAAGTGTTCACTTAGAAAATGGGAGCATCTTCCACTTCCATGACCATCTTTTAAGCAGCAGGTAGACAAGAAAGGTGTCTGCCCTCAAAGCAGTGCTTGTCACTGCCACTGTTAAGTGTAGGGGTCTGCAATGAACTGCTCTAGGGAGAGCAAGAAAAAAGTGTGTAAAAACAGGCTTTTGTCTTCAAATCTGAAATACAGACAAGTTTTCGGATAGGTACTATCCTTCTAGAACACTAAGTAGTCACAAGAAAATCATCTGTTTTATTCGTCCTCTGGGTAGTTGCTATGACGTGGCTGACACCTGCTGCCACTCCATGTCACTCAGTAACAGTGCTGGGGCAGAGGCTGAATGACAATGGAGCACAGGACCATGAGTGCAGGGCCTGGACAGGCACTGGGGGAGGAGCCTGTGCTGGGGCTCTGGAGTGCCTTCCATAGAAGCAGGAAAGACAGCGCCCAGCTCCAACGCAGACACAAAGGCAAGTCTGACTTCAAGTGTCCTTTAACACAACCATCACATGGAAGCGAGTCCTTCACAGAAGACATCTACCCCTTGTTGGGTGGATTTTTCATCCATCACTGTATTCGTCCCACTGCTTGTCCCTCAACCACTTTCCGAAGCATGGGAGCGGTGTACCAGAGCAGACAGAGTCACAGATTCTCGACTGAAACTTAAACCAGTGCACCTTCTTGGTCCCCTCACATTTCTAAATTTTCAGTACATTCATTGATAACACTGGTTATTGCATGCTATGTATGTAGCACACAATGAAATAGGAAATTACACATTTGATTTTTACCTGTCACTGTTAATATCGTCTGACTTGTGAATCTTTGTGTCCTAATCACTAACCAATAGGAGCATGTCATATAATAGTATCACCTAAGAGATAGCTGGAGGATGCTGATGTGTTGGAGTGGATTAATCTGCCACTTGTGACACCATCATGCCTTGTTTATTCTACTTGAATGTAGCTCCTTGCTAAGGTGCCTAGGAAGGCAGCAGGGAAGATGATGGCTCAGATACTCAGGCCTCTGAGATGCATGGGGAAGACCTAAATGGAACTCCAGGTCTCCTAGCTTGAGGTTGGCTCAACCCTGGATGTTGCTGCCATTTAGGGAATGAATCAGTAGATGGATTCTTTCTATTCCTTCTTCCCCCTCCTCTCTGTAATGAATGAATCCTTATGCAACAAGATATGTACTCTGGGGTTCACATTTTTTACACGAGAAATAAAAGACAGTGGTACCATTATCTCTTAATACAAAATGTTAACTGAAATGTTCCCAGGACAGGCATATAATTTTTTTTATAAAGCTTCAGGCATCAGCCAAGGAAGTTTGCTACATTCCTTTGACTGCAGGCCTAGGCTGCACTGTCTATCTGTGGCTAAAAGAAACATCTCCAGACCCTTAGCTTGCAGCAGGACTTGTAAGCAGTCATCCGGACACCTGTGTAGCTCATGCTTCTTAACCATCCTGCTTCTAATACCAACTATAATCAGGACTCTAAAAACAATACTGGGAGCACAATTGGAAAAAAAAAAAGAAGGGTGCTTGGAAAACCCAGAATAAGAGAGCTACACATTCCCAGAGTTAACCGGTAGAAATACAATGATGGTAATCTTGACTGTCAGACAATATTCCAGATAGCTTTTCCCTATAACAATATTTCCAATGCTTACAATGCACAATTGCTCATCCTAAATGTGTTCGAAAATACTAACGAAATATCAAAAAACCTCCAGATTACTTTAGAAATCCTAACTCTCTCTGAAACCAAAGAGGGGGTGATTGGTACGTGACACACCCAAGTTTATCAAATTGATTGTACTTAGTTCTTGTTTTTATCTAGAGTCCAGTAAAATTTTAATGATCTTTCAGAAATAAAGAGCTGAATTTTGGATCTTTAGACAAACAAAATTGGCACTTTCGTTTACACCACGGGATAATTTCAGTTCCTTATTCCATTGCAAAATGGGAGAAAGTTGGAAGAACACTGTCATCACAGATCTACCAGTGCAGCAAAAAAGAAAGAAAAGAAGAAAAAAGGCAAAAAAAGTGCATGATGGTAACGAGAATTACAGGCCACAAAGATGTAGTAAACAGGATCTTGGGACGGTAGGCAGGGACTTCCCCTGGAAAGCATGCAGCTTTCTTCAAGTACAACTGTCATTTCCTTTAGATCCACACAACGAGAGGCAATGTGACTCACCTTAAAGACTTCCATCTGTCTTTTTCTACATGGTTTTCAGGACCTTCACTCTCATAAGAAGCCAGATAAAGAGCTAAAAATCAAAGAAAAAATGAATCACTACGGCAGCCTTCTGACACAATACCACCATCCATGCCCTGTTTAGGTCCAGCCCAACACTACAGGGAAACAAGCACTTGAAGATAGCAAATGATGACTAAAGGGTTCACCGTTTATGTATAATATATATTATATGTATATAATATATATAATGTGTCATCACTTTTTCTTGTTTCAAATTTCCTAACACTCTAACAGATCAGATCTTTGCACGACTTTTTCAAACAGCAAGGGTAACAATTTACTGTTTTGGATTGTTTTCCCCAAGTTACCCATCAACCTAAAAAACACACTTTGCTCCACTGAAATAAGACCAAACAAGGGGAAAAAAATTCTAGAACTTTCCATTTGTGCCAAAAGCTTTGCAGCTCTCATACAACAGTGCTATAAAAATTCTGTGGAAAACTACAGTTGAAGTTAGAGGTAAGCAATTAATTGTCACAGCAGTCAAGCTGGGGTGTCACCAAAAATTAGGAGTTTGGAATCAATACCCTCATTTTAGTGTAAGGTTCAAAGTCTGGCTCTGTTTCTCACGCTAGGCTTCTTCTTAATGTGGAACTTACTTATGGCTCAGTGCTTGGTCCCTGCAACCCACGTTAAGATGTCCAGACAGAGTTATCAGCTCCTGACAGTGGCTGAGTCTAGTCTGGCTGCTGGTGGCATCTGGAGCAGTGAACCAGGCAAGGAGCGATTTCTGCTTGTCTGTCTCTGTCTTCCACAAATAAAGACTGGCTTACTTTGATTCCAAAACATTTCAAAATTCATGCACAGATTTTTACATGAAGTTTTTAAAGACTCCTTATATCATCAGGAATGCTTAAAAACAGAAATGTATTGATTACAGATGAATACTAAGTAAAAATATTTTAGAGAAAGTCACAGGTGTTCTGTGCAGCAAAAACTTAGCTCGGAAAAGATCAGAGGACAGGCGCCCCACACTACACGAGGAACCCAGTGCCATGCCTTTACACACTAATGTCCTAAATGTAAAATCTAGGGGTGCTGGTGGCAGCTCCAACTCATGGGGCTCACCATCTTCACTGAAGACCGGGACTGTGAGAAGATACTGCAGGATCTTGCGGTCCCTCTCAAATGGACACTCCACTTGCTTCCAAGTCATAAATTCACTCACTTGTTTGGCCAACTCCCAAAATTTCTAGAAGAGAATCAAAGAGAATGTAAAGGCAATCGTTAAAAACTGTGAAAGAAATAATTCCACTTAAAACACTTCCTTTTAGTTTTCAAACCTCTCAATTACCCAATTGTCTTAATTTGATAAAAACTTTGTTGGTAAACCCTGAATCAAGTTCACTCTAATACTAATTATTATTATAACAGCAACAACAATGTATCATCTCTAGTTTACTTGATCTTGTTAATTTCTTATAAAGTAGTAGGGAAAAAATAAAAATTTCCTAGGAACCAGTACAGTCAGCTTTGGCTGCTTGACCTGGAATGCAAACCGGCTTGCTGCCTGCCCCTCACCCTCTCCCTGGACCGGACTTTATCATACTCACCTCGAAATTGACATGACCATTAGGGAGGCGGTTGGCGCAGCCCTCATTGAGGAAATAAATGTCTTTGATTAAGAGACTGAAGAATGGTATCACAATCTAGAGAAAACAAAACATTCTGGTTAGTCTCAGCAAATACACGTTTAACCTCTTGTCAAATAACATCAAAGATCACCAAATAACGTAAACTTTAGATTTCATGAAAGTGCACAGTGAGTTAAAGTTGTATGACACCATTTTCCTTGCTAATGTCATTGTGCTTAAGCTTTAAATGTCATTAATAACCCAAACACATGTAGGACATGTTTTGTTGGAAAGTATACCTGATAATGTTTTTCTTACAGCTTTTTCCCTATTTTTCATAATGCAGCAGCTTTCAACAAAATCTAACTATAATAAAAATGTTGAAACAGTTCAAGGAAAAATGCCTTAATGAGTTATTGCTTTCTAGTTAATAGCCTCTTACTTATAGCAAAATATTAACAGAACACCTAACACTGCAGGAACCAAGACTTTAAGATGTAAGAATCATCTCTAAAAAAAATCTGTAGTGCTGTAAAATTTAAGTGTCTATGTTTTAGATGAAACTTTTTTCCCCAGGTAAATTTATTTTACCCTTGAGGCCACTGCTCAAACTATTGTGAAAGAGGTTATAGGCTGTAGTTGCTACAACTTCCTACTGAGTAAACTTAACCTATAAATGAGAGAACAAGTTAGCACCCGCTCTCCTGGGAAATCACCTAAGATGTACCTTGCACAACATGATGTGAGATAGACGTGCTTCAAGTGAAAGAAAAATACAAATGTATAATTAAAAGTAATGGGTGTTGAAAAACCCAGAATGCTCCTTGGTAATACTTTTCTGATTTAATTTTTTGGATTGATAAGGTAGCATGTGTTTAACACTTGAAGAAAGTATACTAAATCCTAATGTTAAACCCCAAATGCACAAAAACTTGCTGTGATGCTATTAAATCATGCACAAAAACAGAATCGTGCATCTGTCTTATTTCCTCAATACAGGCCTTTTAAGTGTTCTGAACTCATGACTCAAGTGGCATGCCTGTACCAAATCAATGGGAAAACGTATTTTTTGACTCACAGATAAAAATATTTTCGATTTACTTCTAGGAAGAAATACAGATTTCACCCCCCCGACATCACGAAAGCAACATTTTTGTTTGTTTCGTTGATCTCTGAAAATAACAAGTGAATCTTCAGTTTCCACAGCTCACATGTATGTACTACTCTGATTTACTGTCATCTGTGAAGTCTAAAGCTAATGAATAAACATCTCATGATCTTCCAGTGTTACCAGTGACTTCCACTGTGTTAGAACTAAACACTCACAGCACAAATGAAAGCACATTCAAACCCTCTCTCTCTGAAAGAATACTATGGGTAAGAACAGTTGAGTTTCAGGCTTTGGCAGATACTGATTAAAATCTGGGTGGCAGGGTTATACCTTTTGTGATTTCTGCATTCACAAGGGCCTATAAGATGCTCTACAATTGATTGAATCATTCTTCCACAGAAATAACCTAACACAGTGCTCAACTTCTCCACTCCTGATGCCCACATGCAAGAGGCAAATCTCACAGTTTTCCTCAACTTCTCGTGTGTGAATGTGTAATCCTCTGGTCCGTGGCCTCCACACAAGTCCGACACAATAAGAACCAGCACCTTATTAGGACTTTGGATTTCCACAGGCTGAGGGAATGCACAGCTTCTTAGGTAGAGAAAGCAAAAATTCGTTTTCTTGAAGATCTTGCCAAAGATTGTCTTGCCTAAGTGGCAGGACTTTAGGTGTCCTAACACTTGCCAGGCCCTTTCAAAATGCTTCCAGTTCACACTCAGCAACTACACCTGTGAGGTATCATCAGTTCCTCACCTCGAACTGAGTGCTGCTGGGAACAGAAAGAAGGACTGGATGGTTTAATACTATCTTCTCATGTAAGGAGTGGCTAGCAACCTTACACTGAAACACAAATAATCATACAGAAAAGTAATTTTAGGGTTTCTGGTTTAAGACAGATTTGAGTTGTTGCCTATTAAGTACCTAGAGATGTGACACTTGCAACACATAAACTTGAGAATTGGAAGAAGATCAAAGATTTTTATTATTTTAATTATGTTGCCAGGAAGATTAGAACACATGAAATTGCTCTGGAATAAAGAAAACATTCCTTCACCTCAAAAAAGAAAAGAAAGAGGGGTGGGTATTTGGCCTAATGGCTAACTAAAATGCCAGCTGAGACACATACCATCTGTTCAACACTTGACTCTGGAGTCCAGCCGCCTGTGAATGCTGACCCCAGGAGGCAACAATAAAAGTTCAAGTGCCTACGTCCCTCTGACCAGTGTGGGAGACCCAGATTGAGTCCCCTAGCTCCCGGCGTTGGCCCAGGCCAGCCTCTGCCATTGCAGACATTTGAGGAGTTAATAAGCAGGTGGAGCTTTCTTTTCCTGTCTCTACCTTTCTCAATCAGTGGAAAATGCATACCAATCTTACTTAATAAAATATGGCTTTTACCAGAATTTTTTAATCTTTCCAGATCAATGGCGAAAAAGAAAGAGCGTATGTTTAAAAACTGGTTGTGATTTCATTTGTTTAAGAGTGGCACAGCTTTATGCAGATGGCCACTCTGAATCCATTTGTAGATGTTAAAAAGCAAATCCAACACAAATCAGTTTTTAATTGACAAAATATTACCATTTCTTAGATCACAGAATGGGTAAACATATCAGACTTCTTCTGGGAAAAAAGCTGTCCAATTCCTACAAATGCAATCTTTCTTGGAGGCTAGACTGCAGAATTTGGCCAGTGCTACATCTTGCAAATCCCTCTGGAAGCAGCACCTGCTCAACTTTCATTGAGGACCCAGCAGAGAGAGCCTTGCATCCATCCCTAAAAAGGCTGACATAGACCACCTGCAGCCTCCATGGGATCCTGAGGGACCCAGGCCGCCATCCTCTCACACACATGCTGATTCTCTGAGCCTTAGCAAATCTGAGTTGATCCTTTCTCAATCAAAATACAGGATGTCTGGAATCTGGGCAAGGAAAATTGCAAAGCTGGAAAAGTTCTGTTTGAGTCACAATGAAAGATGGCAAGCTCTGCTTCCTCCCATCCTTGACCATGCCGGAGTATTGATTGCAAAAATTGCAATATCTTTACAATACCTGCCAAATGTGATCAGAACTCGTGTTCAGACTGGGTTCAGAGACAATCCGGCAATTTTAGACAACAGTTTGGCATCTGCCTTTGAGCTTAATGAGGCTGAAGCTTTTCAGACAGAGCACTCTAAGACCTCTCTTAAATATTCTTATTTTCCTCATGTGTGGCAGACACGATAAAGATAAAGGGAGACGGGTTCTAATGGAAGATTTCCTCTAACATGCAATTTTTATTTGTCAATTTGCCATAAGTGAGTATTTATTTCTCAAATAAAACAAAGAGCAACAAACTTTGTGAAATAGCAACCTTCCTCTTCAGAAGAAAACATAGCACTCAACCGCTCCCACAACGGGACCTTGGAATCCATTACAAGACTTCCATGATGAGATTTACTTGTGTACGCACTGGGTAGCAAGAACAAGATTGCTACTTTCTCAGACATCACCCCTGTAACTTTTTCCTGCCACCTGCATATCCAATTAGTCACAGCAGGCTTGACGCTGCAGCAACTCACCTCCTTTCTGAAAATAAATGACTTAACCATGGGAGGTAAGCTAATTCTCTTAAGAAAAAAAAAAAAAGGTTATATTAAGTCAGCCACCTTGTGCAGAGATTAAATGTCTGTTTTCCATTAGGTCAAATTACTATCTAACGCTATTAGTCATCTTAATGCATGACTTAACGTATTGCTTGAAACACAACTAAGATTCACTGCAGAATATCTAAGGAAGGCAACAATAGCATGGTAAGAGGGATCTGCAAAGTTCTCCACGTAAGTCACTTCTCCAATTCCTCAGTTCAGCTTTCTCTGAACATTCCCCTTCTCTATGTGGAAAGTGCTAGAATGCCTGGAATGAACATTTCTCTCAGATCTGAATAGGTCAAAGCAGTTCAATGTAGCTGTTCACATGCTGTTTCTAGGTAAGCTGTGGCAACTCTAACACGAATAACACATTAGTTTAAGTACATACCTTCTCTCTGCTGCTATGAGCAGTTAAAGATCTTTGTGCTGCTCCTCGGAGAGCCGTACGGTAATTATAGAAATTGCTTGAAGGGTCCATTTGATGCTACAGATAACAGAGCAGAGTGTTCACAACTTACTTCTCAACAGTGGGAAGTTTACAAGACCACATATTTGACAATACATGGAAAATTCAAGGTAAATAAGGGAACTTCTTGAGAATAAAACTGATCCCTCTTACACACCCCCATGCACATGTGACACATTTACAACACAGATGTTTTCTTTCCAGAGATGTAGTTTGTTTATATAAACTGTTCTCAGCTGTAATATTTTTAAAACTAAACATTTCCAGGCTGATTGTCGGGATCAGACCCAAAACTGATAACCAAGCGTCAAACTCAAGCACTAGAAGTATTTCCTGGCTTCATTTGAAATTTCATGGGTCAGCTGATGGTCAGCTACGTGACCCAACACTTGGGAATGAAGTTGTTTGGATCTGGTAAACATTCACTGACAAATATTGAAGTATACCATTCAACGAGGTAAACAAATTTATGAATTTCTGCATATATGCATATATGGCATCATTAATATATCTAATGATAATTCCCAATTGGGGGAAAAAAACTAGGCAAAGAATGCTATCTGATTGCTTCCAAAGATAGTAGATTCAGAGAACCAACAAATGCATAGGATTCAAGCACGCATGTCCTTGTACAACCCTTACTTCCTTCAGACATAGAGAGGAATGCCTTTTCACAGGTTAACGGGCTGAAAGGCTGGGGAATGAATATTTCTGTGGGAATGACAGTGACTGTCAATAAAAGGGATTTGCAGGCAAACTCTCCATTGTTCTGAACACAAATTCCATTCTGGTATCCAACGTGATAGGACTGACAGATCACCACTTCTCCCATCGATTCGTCCCTGAATGGACCTCTCTACTTACAATAGGACTAGTCCACCACCTGATTTATTTTCTCCTCCTTCAATGTCATCCTCTTTCTTTTCCCTGGGTCTATACTGCCTTTGTCTGCTGAGAATACTAGCTGACGGAGAACAATGAAATAGAGGAATGCCACTTTCCAGGTGGAAATCAAGTCACATACCTCAAGAATGTCAAACTTGGCCGTCTTCACTTTGGCCCAGGTTTTTTTTAGTCGGGAGACTGGGCTCATGTTCATTCCAGCTTCCCATTTAAAGTAGAGGCAGCGGTGGGAGAGAGAATATCAAAATAGAGAGATAAGAAAAATCATTCTGGTTTACACTCCTAAAAATGTTTTCATCATTAGCGCACAAACAAAAATCATGCAAACGGAATGGCGCAGTAGTGAGTCAAGATAATCCTCTGCTTGTGGCATCAGCGCCCCATTTGGGCACCACTTCAAGTCCTGGCTGCTCCACTTTTGACTCGGCTTGCTGCTAATGCCTGGGACAGCAGCAGAGGACTGCCAAAGCCCTTAGGCTCCTGTACCCATTTGGGAGAGCTTGAAGAAGCTCCTGACCCCTGACATCAGACTAGCACAATTCTGGCCATTTTGGCTATTTGAGAAGTGAACCAACCAGATGGAAGATCTCTGTCTCTCCAACTTTCAAATAAAACCAAATAAATCTTTATATAAAATCCTGCAAATTATTAGTTACTTGTCAGTTGATAATTTTTCATTTATTTTTATACAAAATCTCCTTAAACCTAGTAACAGCCTGATACCATTGAGAAGGAAGTGAGTGGGTGAGCTTTTCATTATATATATGTATATGTATATGTATATGTATACACACAAGGCATATCTATGTATATATTTTGCAAAGGGAAAGATGGTAACCATTTTAGGAACAGCAGCCACAGGGACTGTGTCAGTATGCAGACACAACCTTAGCCAACTACATAAACAAAGAAATATGGCAATGTTCCAATAAAAATTTAAGTATAGACACTGAATTTGAATTTACATTGTGTTCGCATGCTTACTCTTCCTTTGATTTTTCCAAACATCTAAAAATAGAAACTATTCTTAGCTTATTGACCATAAAGAAACCATCCCGTGGTGGGCCAGCTTTGGTGAAAGGGTGTAGTTTCCGGAGCTTTGAGTTAGCGTCTAACACGCCACCATGTTTATTCTACATTATCTCAATCAACATTCCTACAAGGAGATGGTGCTTTCTACGGGAAAGAAGTTTCCCCAAGGTCGCTCAGTTAACAAATAACAAAGAGTGGAGCTTTATGGATAAGAATCTGTAATTCACACTCATTTCAATACACCATTCTGCCTTTCCTAATGATATCCTCCACATTAGAGTTACTTGAAGAAATATTACAGTAGTTATTCATAGAGAAAAAGAGTCCACACTAAGCCAATATGAATACGTATTAATTTCATATCACCAAAATTCATAGTTTAAGGGCTACAAAAAAAAGACGTTTAAGAGAGATGAACTTCACATGGGGAAAAACACAGAGATCCTAAATACACAAAAGGAGCAATTTTGATAAATGTGCAAGGCTTATAAAACCTTGTGGAAAATGGAGGTAAAGCATACATTTATTTTGTTGCTATTTCTCCTGCATACTTTTTAAATAATATTTTTCATGAACTTCTTAAAGACGCCCCTGAATGCAAAGACGCCTCTAAAAATGCATTTTGTAGTTACTATGATGAAGTTGCCTATATATTCATGATTATGTAAATAACTCTGGGGACATGTGCTGGCACCATTGTGAGGTAATCATAGAGTTGCATAGAATCGGGGGGGAGGGGGGTGTACATATGCATTTAACTTTCAAGAATATGCCAAATAATTTCCCAAAGCAGCGGCACCATATTATACAGTTTCCATAATACTTCCGCTAACCCGTGTTTCACAGCTATTCTAGTGAATGGAGGGGACTTCCACTGTTATTTTCGTTTCTCTGATGACTCAGGGTGTAGGGCACTTACATACACTTGTTATCCATCAGTATTAATGTATACACTTTTGTGAAAAGGGTTTTGCTTTTTTTTTTTAATCATTAAGTTATCTGTCTTATTGATTTGTTAAGTCCTGTATACACTTAGGAGACAAGCTCCCATACTATGACTTAATTTGACATATTCTTTGTGGTGTTAATGGGAAATTAAGTTCTGTAGCCTAGAATGGGGCCCTTGGAGGCCCCTGACTCAGACAAAGTTTCTATTTATATGATGTAGGGTGACTCAGATAAACAAGGAGGTGGAGCTTGACCAGAATTTTTGTGAAGGAGACAAAGAGAAAATGATATTCAAATAAAATGGAGAAAGGAAGAGTGAAATTTTGTATTTATTAGGATCAAAATTATTGTGTTAAGTCTGGTAGACTGTCTATCTTCAAAGCGGTACTCTTGTTTCTACTTGTTTATGAAACTATTTACTGATTACCTACAGTGTGTAGAATAGCAATCCAACATGTAGCATGAATTAACATCCTTTTTATTGAAAGAGAAGAAAGGCAAGAGAACAGGTGTGAAGTAAGAACATCCAAACTACACAGTTACTGCTCAGCTCCTGTTCACAGAATGAATGGAAAGAAACATTGGTGTTGAAACCGCCCTGAATGTAAAGGAGCGAGTTTGTATTTGAATGTAAGATGCTGTGTCAGGGCTAAGTACCAAGAAAACGGACTGTCAGAATACAGTATAGCTTCTCAGGCTCCCTTCTTATCAATGCTGCTGAAATCATATCATTTAGTCTTGGATCATGAATTATCTCTAATGCTTGCTATATGAGTATATTTTTCTTAAAAAAGATTTTTTTTATTTGAAAGGCATATTTACAGAAAGAAGGAGACATAGAGGATCTTCCATCCACTGGTTCACTCTCCAAAATGGCTGCAGTGACAGGATCTGAGCTGATCCAAAAGTAGGAGCCAGGAGCCTCTTCCTGGGTCTCCCATGTGGGTGCAGGGGCCAGAGGACTTGAACCATCCTTTGCTGCCCTCCCAGGCCACAAGCAGAGAGCTGCATCAGAAGTAGAGCATCTGGGACATAAACTGGTGCCCTTATGGGATGCTGGTGTCACAGGATGCAGGATTAGCCTGCTCCACTGCTGCACTGGCTCATGAGTATGCTTCGTAGAATATCCCCAAAAATCTCTTTATACAGATCTCTCACAAAATTTAACAGATGGATATCTGGAGATGAATTAACTAGAATATTCAATGGATTCTTATATACTTAAGAGGAATTATATACATATGTATATAAATAATTATATATATATATATATATATATATATATATATATATATATATATATATCACACCAAATGGTTTGTACCTTCTGAAGGAACCCAGGATTTAAACATGTAGTTTTCATGATCAAAACCAACTATTTGTGAATCTAAAATGAACGCAATTTTCAGAACCCATAAAAAAGATGAAGGGGACATGTAGCATCCAGAAAATACTCACAGATGATTGCCATCAGGGAATTAAAGTTGCCAATGTTGAAACACTCCCGTGCTACGTCAATGAAATACTCAATCATCCTTGCTCGATGCTTCTTCTTTACAGGCTATGTGCAAAAGGACATGAGAGAACAGTCACCTGACGTGCAGACCCAGCAGCTGTAAAGGAAGCCTGGGAGAACAAGATGGAGAGCCAGGAGACCGAGAAGATCCATTTCCTTACCATGCAGATTTCCGTGGCAACCAAGTAGCTGAGGCGATTAAACCATTCCACATAGGCTTCTAAGTTGCGGGTTTTCTTCCGTTCACTGTAGCAACTCTATTGAGAAAGCAATGTGAGTGGGTGAGGTGGAGGGAAAAAAAAATAATGATTGAGGCTATCATTTTGTTGGATATGGGTTTTTACTCTGTTTGGGGGTTATGGAATGTCTCTAGGATGAGAGAGAGAATACAGGAGAAAGGAAAGAAAAAGGGATTGGGAGAGGAGGAGAGGAAGATAACCCTTCTGGTAACACTGCAGTCTCTCAGGAAAGTGCAGTGAGACCTGAGATCTAGAAACGCACTTTGCACACGCATAAAAATTCCCCTTCCTCCCTTCCTAGAACTCGGATCCTCTGAGTGGGATGTGTCCTCGGAAGCACAACGCCAAGGCCGGCTTCCTGCTCCATTCTAAAACAATCACGGCTAGTTACGGAGATGGGAATGTTAAGGGCTCACGGCACAGATGGGAAAGGTTGAGAACAGGAGACTGGTCCCATTCCTGAATTAATTAAGGACACAATTTTGGAGCTTCATGTACCCAGAAACTATCTCCTAATGTTGGTGAGCAGAAATTTACACCATGCCACACTTCAGTTGGGTAACAGCGTTCAGAAGCAAAAGAAGTTAATCTCATCGTGAGGTTCAAGGCCTACTTTAAAGGGGTTAATTACACTCCTCTTTCCTTCCTTCCAAAAGCAAAACAAAATACTCCCCAAAAGTCCAGGAGCCTTCTATTGCAAAACACATTCTTCACTTCCTGTACTGAAACTATTCTGAGGCCGGAAAACAGCTGTCGCTGCTACCCCAGAGATGGTTTTCACCAGCAGGCAATGCAGTCTTTGCCTAACAAGTTAAAGTGCTTCTAGAACTCCTGGAGGGAAAAATTCTCACTTGAGGTCACTGATTTTAGAGTCACATCCAGTGCTGTTCAATGAGTAGGCTTTCCTCAGGCAACAAACCTGTTACAAGCAAGTCAGCTTAAATCCAGGGACAAAGCAGTGAAGATCCCGGCTTAGCAAGCTGGATGTGTCTCCTGTTTGTCCCTCCCCTGAAATCATTGAGTCATGAGCGGTGGATTCTCTTCTATTTTCTTTCTGACTTAATCTGCTACATTCATTGCGCCTTTATCTCCTACCTTCATCAGCACTAATGCCTGCATCTACTTGCCATGTAAAAGGCTAATTAAACTTCCCATTAAGGAAGAAAGGAGGCTGAAAAGTTAGTACAGAATATCATGAAGGCATGAGCTCAGGCAAAATGACAATGAAGCCAGACCTGGCTAATGGGAGAACCAACTTTCTGACCTGATTTCTCTCTGTTCCGCCCAGGATTACAGACTAAGGAGCTCCGCCTCTCATTTCAGAGAACACTGATTACCTTGTCATTGTCCAAAGGGTCCTTCTGCACGAACGCCTGGACAAACTCTTCTGGTCCGATGTAATTGAGCCTCTCCTGAAAGGCAACTCCAGCAGGTCAATGATACTGAAGAAAATAAAGAAGAAATGGATGGTCCCCACTATTTGCTTTGGACACTGCCCCTCCCCCCCCCACCTCTCCTTTAAGCAGTTTATAAAATACACCTTTTACCCTGAACACTTTCATCCTTTTCAGGGTCTAAAGAGAGGCAATTTTCTGTGAGGTCACCTTTCCACAGGACTGAAGGAGTTATGGGGAAATTCCAAAGAGACAAAATAGGAGGCAGGGAGGGCAACACACTTGCTGCTCTGCAGTCTGGTTTGGTATCTGTTTACAGATGAGTTCCCAGAACATCAGGAGCACTCATGGTCAAATGCCTAAACAGAGCAGGTTCCGGATGTCTTCTAGATCATTTCCCATCTGGAAACTTCTGACGGGTCCTACTCTACTACTGCTGGCAGACACACTGTCTGGTTGTCAAAGCCCGCCCGACCCCTGGCTGGAGAGGGCAAGGGTGATGACAGCTGCCCTACCAGCTCTATGTGAGTCAGCTGCTGGGCCAGCGTGTACGGGTCGCTGCACACAGTGATGAGATCCCTCTGGATGGACTGCGGCTTGGTCTTGAGGACGGTGAGCCGATCCGTGGATGTGGAGCTGATTTTTGCCAGCACCTCCTCATACTGGCTGAGTGCGGCAAGCTTGCGGATCAGACACTGCATCATCTGCTGCACATTCTTCCGGTACGTCTGCTGGGGAACAAGCAAAGAATGACGACACTGCCCTGGGCATCTTCCGTCACCCCTATACAAACTCAGAAACAATGCTGACGAGCCAGCCAGGTTCAGGGCACCTAGAGGAGGATTCAGCCAGCTCTGGCACCTTCAAAAACCTACAGACTCCAAGCGTATTTTCAGATGTGTCTAAGGTTGAGTTCTTTACTCGGGTTGCTTCTCAGAGTACAGTTCAGGTACTAGGACATTTGAGATTAGTTACTGAGGAGATCCAGTGCAATGAACACTGTAGGTAACAATGCTCCTTGGGTGCATGGAAGCTGACTTGTTTGTTTTCCAGTGAGTTAACATAGGTTTCTCTCAAATCAGAGCACCCTCAACTAACCATTTGGCTTTAGGGTTATCTTTCTGATCTCCGTGCCATATGGTCAATCCTATCAGTCTTAGACCATGGACAGTCATGCTGAAATATTCCATTACTTTCTTTTGTTGCCCCAAGCACTCAACTGATGTCCACACACAGCACATGTATGCTTGGTGGGCACTTATTTTTGCATTTGACCTCCACACGTGGTTCATGACCACTTCTTTGGCATCTACCAGTCAGTTCTGTAGTTCACAACCAAACTCTCCCCACAACATTACCCCCACGTACCACCTTGTTCACCAAGTGTGTGCTACAATCATACACTTAGAGAAACTGATTTAAAGGGCAGTGTATATACTATAGGTAAGTGTCAACCTCTTGAAATTCAAAACTCTAAAGCCAAAGAAATAACGTCACAATCAATCCAGGATACAGCAACTGAAAGTGACAGGGTTCTTTAAGATCTCCCCTTCAGGCCCCAAATTGCCAAACTGCAATGATGAGCCGAGGTCAATGCCGCCCGCATCCAATAAGGTGCAAGGACTCAGTCAATGCTCAAAGACCCTTAAGAGAACAGCGCCAAGGAAGGACAGTCCCAGTGAATTCACAGGTGGAAAAGGCTGATACGTATACTTCCCTGCCTTCTCAAAGGTTCTACCCTATCGCTTACTGAAAAGAATTATCCAAAAATTAGGTGTCCCACACTGAACAAGTGTACATTCCATATATATATATATATACATGTATACATATATGTATGGCAGAGGCAGTTCCTAAATAAAGAAGTGATATTGTGACACAGCTGGAAATGGTTAATTCTTTCACAAAGATATAAAGGCACACACAGTCTTCTTTTCTTCATTGTTGTTTCCACTTACATATTTCATCCCATAGATCACCTTGATTTTTTCCACATAGTTCAGGTAACCTTACATACAAATGATGAAGAAGCATTTAAGCATTTTAAAAATTCAAACTTCAGGAGGCAAGCTGCCTTCCAGGCAGCATTATGGTTATAATCTAGTTGATACAGTCTATTTTGTGGTGTGTCTGACAAGGAAACTAGCTCTTTAGGTGGAATTTTAAGCTATTCAAGATGGAATTGAGGCCACTTGCTTCCCCCTCTTCCCTGTTGCCCCACCCTGTCTAGTTTAGCAATGTGGAGATCTATTCTCAAATGCTTCCTGCAGACTCTGTCCCCAGCGTCATAAAAATGCCTGCGTGAGATTCAGACACGACTCCTAAAAAGTGTGCAAATATTTCCCAATGTGTGACTCATGCCCTCTTGGAAGTACAAGGGTACTTCATAAAGTTCATGAAAAGGTGAATGATAAAAAAATCTATGCTAGCATTTCAACATGCTTTTGCAACCAAAATAAACTTATCTTTTAATTCTACATTCCATGCTAGCATGCTGAAGCTTCACAGTTATAAAAGCTGATCTTTGAGAGAGGACCACAACTGTGGTTGTATTACTCCCCGACATTACTCATTAAACTTAGCCTGATGTGGATAAGGGATTCATCTTCATTATCTTAACAAGAAAATGGAATTCTCTACATAAAAAGCGTAGTTATTGGAGGACAATAAACCTAGTGGTTAAGATTTCTGTGTCCTGTGTTGGAATACTGGGGCTCTATTTCTGGCTTTGGCTCCTGACTCCAACTTTATGCCAGTGCAGACTCTAGTGGTCAGTAGTGATGGCTAAAGTAATTATATCCTTGCTACATACATGAAATACTTGATCTGTGTTCTCAATTTAGGGAGCTCTCCCTTTCTCTTTTTCTCTCTTTCTCTCTCTCTCACACACACACACTCTCTCACTCTTTCTCTCTCTTCTACTCTCTATCTCAAATGATTATTATTTTTCTATGTACTTGCTCACTTCTAACAATAGCTTCTAGGAAGAAAAGCGACCATCCCACATTGGATTACTAGTATCAGGTAAAAGGTTACAGTGTCTGTGTGGACGAGGAAAGTTCCCTGTGACATCTCTCTATGTGAAAAGCCAAGATAACGAATGTCAAGGAAACACACACAAACACAGACCATAAATCATACCCATAAATCACATGCGTAAAATATATGGAAAAAAAAGTTCCCCACGCTCAAAAATACCACCACAGCTCAATTCAAAATAGCCCTGATATTCAATGTCTCGTGAGCATGTCCTCACTCCTGAATCACCCATCTTTCCCCCATCCTCTCCTCTGGTTCCTGTTGAAACTACTTTAGCCAGACAATGACAATACCCTTTCAGGTCACCACCCAGCACACCCCTGGGAAGCACAGAACACAAGACACAGTTATCAGGGGACAGCTTGCAGCCTGAGTCCCAACCAGCAAGCCCTGGATTTGGCTGAGAGGAGCCGACTGTCCGTGTTCTTCAACTGATTCTGTTACACAGCTGTATGCAAACACCAACGCTCTCCTACCGTTTCTGGTGAATGATTTTATTCTATCCTTAAGTTTTTAAATGAACCAGCAGTGGAATCACAGTCCAGTGAGAAAAAATAAAGCAGCAGCAGCAGCAAAACATTCATGGAAAAATGAAATTAAAAGATGAGTTTATTTTGGTGCAAAACATTTTGAAATCCTTGCATACAAAAAGTCTTTAAAAAGCTCATGGAAAAATGCGTATTATGGAAAAAGTATGCACGGATTTCAAAGTCTTCTGCCCCCAAATAAACCCAACGTTTAACTGCGTTTTTTCCACAAATGTTTCAAAGTCTTTTCATATAAGGGAAAAAAATGTGTACTTTAGGGAAAAAAAAAGATATTCAAACAAGAATGTGCCTATAGACCTAGGAGAGAGAGAATGTAGGTGATCACCTTAAAAAAGTGTTCTACCATCACTTGCTTTCATTTGAGAAATCAAGCTTTATGTTGTTAGACATGCTTCCTCCCTGAGTCATGGATTGCTAAATATGCACTTCTTCTTTTTTATAACTTCAAATGCCAGCGATGGTAATTACCTGGCAAATAAGGATAGAAGTTCTTATTATAAACACCAACTCCTTAAGGAAGAGAAAATTGCATTCTATCCACTACAGTGATTTGTCATGTAATTCAATCATTAGTTTCATTTCATGTTTCTTGCAGGCAAGTCCTAATAAACCTCTTCATTTTGGGCAAATCCCCGGGGGGGAAACATTTTAAGCCAATTTATGTGGAACCGTCCTAACAGATCCAGAAGAAACTGACTAAATTATATAGAGGGCACACCTGGACTCAGTGGTTGCCAAAGTCATACATATACATGTATAAATATATAGGAATATATCTATAAAGTCAGGGGCAGGAAGCAACAAGTTACAGCTGAAGCCCAGGTTCCCTCTAATGGAAAGAAATATTGTTTTCCTAACCTAGTAAATGATTTTTTTTTTCTCTTAGGCATTCACTCATTCATCCAAACGCTACATACAGAGAGCCTATTAAATGGCAGGCTGTCAGCTAGCAGTAAGGGTGCTGGAGTAAGCCAAGAGGGCACAGCATGGAGTCTAGAAAAGAAGCAATAAAAAAAGTAAGTCATTACTGGTCACAGAGTACTCTGAAGGGATGGGGGTGAGGGCAGGATGGAAGGAGGGTGTAGTTGGAATCGGGGTGGGATGGGAGTCTCTTTGAGGAGGGTACTTAAGTATATGACAGATAAGGAGCCCCTCGAGCCAAGCACCCATCTAAAAAATATGGAGCCTAGAAGGATATTCACGTAGAGCAGCCAATTCTGACTTGATGAGGAAGGAGTGGTCTGTCTGCAGGACTTGCCAAAGCACGCTCACAGCCAGTTGTCAAGTGTGGGCCCCACTGCTGAAAACTGCCTAGTATTTCCTATTTTGTTAAGTTTTAGAAACGGTATTAAAATGTACTTTAAAAGTTGGGAATGGATAGTGCATCTTGTTATCTTTCCAGCACAGCATTGATAGAGTGAATTCCCAAGGAAGGTTATTCCTGATGGGAAAATGCATTTTAAGACAAAGTAAGACATCACTGCAGCTGCCAAGGGCTTTGCCTACCCTTTCCTCCGTGAAAAAGTCTTATTCCTGTCTGTGAAACTTGCTCCCTGAAGCTCAGCAGCAAACTGCACAAAGTCAGCCTCATATAACATGCCTCAACACAGAAGACAGGCCCTCCAGGCCGGCTTCAAAGAGGAGAAGCTTGAATCGGTTGCAGCTCGTCAGCTCTTATCAAAGGCTCAGCTGAAGGGAGGGAGATTCATGGAAGATGATCGAAGAGATTCTTTCCACCTCCACCTACTCTAGGTCCTAGCCTTTAACCCACTTCCAGACACCTGCAGACTGAAATCACGTTCTCCGTCTTCTCCCTGCGTCATATGCACACGGATCTATGTCAGCTCTGATCCACAGTTCCTGCTGCCAAGAGAGAAAATCTCCATCTACGCCCCTTAAACCAGGGCCCATAAGACCATTTTTACCAGCCTCATTAATGCCTTAAAGAATGAATGTTTCTCTCTTCTGACAGCAAAATGATTATAAACAACACTATTTCCCTTTTGCCTTGAGCTTAAGCCACAGAAGCTGCTCCACTAGTTGTCAACATCATATGCTTGCATCTCCTTTTCATGGTCCATTCCATTTTTTACATAGTTTGTATGAGATTATGTATATGAGGGTGAAAATTTTCATGTCATTCACAATATTTATTTAGGAATCTAATTCTACTTGTGAGTTATCAGCATACTTCCTATTACCTATCAATATATTATTATGTTATTTATTTTATATCTCAGCGCTTATAGCTAACAAAATGCAATGTATTCTCTAACTAGATATGTTAAACCTTTTTGGAAGGAATAAAGACCAAGTGAAATCAAAGCCTACTTACAACATGAATCCTGTGCATGAATTGATATGAACAGAACCCCCAAATTAATCACATACACCTCCAGGTCACCTCCCCCTGAGGTGGAATGGTTTGATCATGTCCATATGGCATACCCAACAGAACAGTATGCACGCTATAGGCCTTGCCTGCAGGTCTAACAGAAAAGAAGCCAGTGAGAACCTGGTCCATATCTCTGCACCACCCCCCACCAAGTCTGTGCCCAGGAATGCCAACGGCTGTGCCACGAGTCAGGTTACCCACCTCTTCGCCACTGGCTATTCGGTGAGCCAGATCTTTTAAGTTTCTCATCATTCTTTCATCTCGGAAATCATAAGGAAACGTTTCTGTCCACTCTGTCAGGAGTTGGAGAATCTTAGGTGCAATTTTTCTCATCTGGCTCTGGGGAGGGGATGGAGGTTAGAGATGGGGGGAAGAAAAGGCAAATTGAATTAAGTGGTTTGCGTCACAGTGAACCACATCAAATAAATAACGACATGGTAACCTTCCGCGCTTCTGGGATCCCAGGGTCTTCCTGTGAGTCCATTGAGACTATTTTATCTACATATCATTCTCATTCCCTTGGCTCACCCCGAGGCTGTGTGTGCACCGCAGCCCGGGAACATGCTAGCGTTACTTGAGAAAATCAGTTTCCCGAAATCCATGCCATTAGAGTGAGCATACCTGATTTATTATTATTATTATTTTACTGTAAAGGTCAACATTTATGCTTACCTTATCACTCTCAGGATCACTTAGTCTCTGATGCTCCACACATAAGTGGCACACTTTGGCCATGAGCTCATAGGGATGCATAAATAGCCGAGAACTGAGCAGGAAGGTGAAGATGTATGTCCTCTGCAGCGGGAGAAACGTGTCATGCTGGTTACAATCTCTCTGGAAGGAGCATTTTTCTTACCTCTGTTACATACCACTTCTGTAATTTCTCGTGAGCAACATTACCATTTGTAGTTTCAAAAGGAATGCTCACCAGTAGCACAACAGCATAGCGGGTGTATCTCCTTTAGCCTCTGACATTTTTCCTTAAAGCTTACTAAAAATAACAGAACTACATCCCAAGCTGGCCTCCTGGAATTATTCTGAGCCCATTTTCACACCCACCTTCTGGGGACCTGGATACCAGGACACACGCATCATTCCACTAAGTCACACTAAGGTGTACAGTAACAAGTCATCACTTACGGTGTTTACATCCCATAAGGACACTAGTTCGAGTCCTGGCTGTTCCGCTTTTGATCCAGTCCCCTGCCAGTGCACTTGGGAGAGCAGTGGAAGGGGGTTCAAGTATTTGGGCTGCTATCACCCACACAGGAAACCCAGAGGAAGCTCCTGGCTTTGGACTAGCCCAGCTCCAATTGTGGCAGCCATTTGGAGAGTGAACCAGTGGATGAAAAGTCCACTGGTGGATCTCTTTCTCTCTCTCTCTCTTTCTCTCATTCTTCCTTTCAAATGAATAAATATTTTTTTAAAAAATGTTAAAATATCTTTTAAAAAAGAAGGATAAACTTTATGCTGAAGAGAGAAAGCTAACTGAAATACATCACCCATATCGAATACGGTTGTGTTGCAACATTGTAAATTGAAAACAAAACAAATAAAAATTGCACCAAAAACAATAACAAACAAAATCCACACAGCCTATCTATATGCAGCACAAGAATCCCATGAGGCACACTGACATGTTTGTATCAAAACACTGGAAGGCAACATGTCTAATAGCCTATTCATTTGCCCAAGGACTACTCAATGTGCTAAGGCATGCTATAACACTATGCTTTTCTTTAGCCACATTGTCTCCAGTAAGACACCAGTAATAAACCTGCCCCTCTCTGTTAGAATAGTTTCAGACTCCCAGCAAAAAAGAGAAATTCCAGGGCTTCTCCTCAGCCCCCTTAGGCGTCTCTGGGAGCTCACAAACACTTCACAGGGCTGAACAAGGAATCCTTTTCACATTTGATTACAAGTTTTCTCTGTGTGGCAACAGATTTGAAAACACTATGGAACAAATCTCACACAGGGCACTAACTCAGGAGGTGGCATTATGGTGAATGAGTGTGGCAGGCACAAGCCATCCTCTGCACACTGAGGTTATTATTATATGTATAAAAATCAAGGAATGCAGTCTATGGGTATTTTCATAAGCTCTTGGTCCACAGCCAGCTGCTTAGTGAATCTTCTTACGCTATTACACTTGATGCCACTGGGGCAGCTGCAGTGTAAGAAAAAGTGGTGGGAGGGGTGGGGACACACCATCTGCCCTAGAAAATAACCTTGGGTGTGATCACTGATGCTGTGTCTGGGGAGATCATGTGAATATTCCAACATTCTCAGTTTTAGTTTTCTCCTCTCTCTACCTTCTTGGTAGTATGGTAAAGACTGAGTAAGCATCAAAAGGAATATTCAAAATCAGAAAGTACTGTCTCTGTGAAGATAGGTTATCTGGTAACACAGAAATCAACATGATAGCTGATGTCCAATCCATAAAGAACTGCCTCCCGAGCATAAATGCTGCCCTTTCTTCTGTCTGCTTTCCCTGATTACATTTACTTTTCTCAGCACAGTGATGGCTTTGGAAACAAAAGGGACATAACATATTCTGGGTGCATCCAACGTTCTCTGGCATTTCTATTTAAGGACTAATGTGTGTGCATGAGGCAAGCCTATTGAGATTTCGTGTGGATGATCCGGCACTACCCACGACCCTGAAAGGAAACTGACACATAATCGACAACACCAAGATCTGATTCTATGTTCTGATTCTATATTGTTGAACTTGTACTCGACACGGATGATGCGTTCCCGAAGAAAGGGAATACCTACGTCAGGATAATAATCCACGTTGGGTACCAAGTGCTGGATGAGTGCCTCCAGGGAACCTGACAGCAGGTTGTTGTCATGATAGTACAGCCCTCCACAGCTGTCCTCTGAAGACTGATACAGGTTTCGGTTGTAGCCACTGCTGTCAAACATTGCTGAGAAGGGAGGCGTCTGAGGCATGCTTTCCTAAAAAGAAGAAGAAAGCATGGCATCAACAGCATGCGGTAGGAAGGGAAAAACCAACTTTGACAGGCACTAAGTTTTAAGAGGAAGGAGGAAACCACCAATTTTTAGGAGATGCAGGGTTGGGCTGTGGCAGAGCCAGTTAAGACACAGACTGAGACACCAGCATCTCAGGCGTGCCAATTTGAGTCCTGACTGCTTCACTTCTGGTCCAGGTTGCTGATGCACCTAGAAGAGCAGCAGCACATGGCCCACGTGTTTAGGCCCCTGCACCCACATGGGAGACCTTGATGGAGTTCCAGGTTCTTAGCTTCCGGCTGGCTGTTGTGGCCACTTGGGGAATTAGAAATCAATCTCTTTCAGTCTTCCTGTGTGCAACTCTTCCTTTAAACAAATGAATAAAAATCTTTTGGAAAATTAAACTCTGACACAGGAGAAGGGTACATCAAGAACCATATTTCTGTTTGAAGATAATAGGCGAGCATTAATACAGGCCTGAGCATTGATCAACCTCGGACAAGGAACATGAATTCTTAACCCAAAAGATCAAACTTGTACTTTGATTTAAGTCTCTGGCTACCATATTGGGACATCATTCTTTCATGTTTGCTTATGAGGGGTGACAGACAACTGTGATTGGATTGTTAAGGCCTTCTAAGTGGAATGTTCCCCTGAAACGAAATGAGGAAGTCTTCCAATTTGATTGGGTGAAAGCACAAAATACTTAAAGAGGTGTATGACCAGCACTGCATAAACATGGGGACAAACAAAACTAAAGCTGGAAAAACAAACTTACAAATGGGGCCTGAACTTAAGATTGACACTATGCACGCATGAGTTTATTTATACGTGTAAGAGGGAATGGAGAACACACATTATGACCTGACTGTATGGAGTTTAAACTTCTTGGAACCAAAACACATGATCTTCTAATTCCGCTTTACATGAACTTTTTGAAGCTCCCTCTCATGTTTGCAAGCATTAGGATTCTTTAATGGGAGCTCCTAATTTGTCCTGGAAGGTCAAACATGCGGATTTTCACCACTTTGTGTTGAATTCTGTGAGTGGGGTGGGGTCAGTTCTCAGTAAACATGCAGGCTGTGATGGCACCTGGTGGGGAACAAGGAGCACTGTGACAGTCCAGAGATAAGGGACTCCTCTCCATACCTGGGCTTTGCAGTTCAGATGCTGTAATTGTCACTCAGTAGAAGCCACAGGCCATTCAGTCATTCCTGGATTTCTAGAGACCCAGCACCAGGCCCCTGAGAATAGACTCCTGGGTTCTGGCAGCATGCCTGGACAATGAAGGCATTCAAGAGCGGCCAGGACAAAGGGTTTCGGAAGGCAAACAATAGGGGAAGCCAAAATGCAGGCCTGGGACCCATGGGGGTGGGGGGGGGTGGAGTGTGGAAGTGTCAGGAGGCCACAGCCTGAGCTAATTCTTCTTTAGAATATGCATAAAAGTTGTTCCCATCCAAAGAGGGTTGGAAATAAGGTCAGATTAAGTCACACTCATCAATCCTCCGTGCATCTGTTCTCTTAGAGCTTGTGTTGGGCACAAAGAACCCTCCCATAAGAGCCTTATCAGGGGTAGTGTTAGGTGAAGACATCAAGAAGGAAGCCCACCTAGTAGGTGAAATGTTATTTTTTTTCTTTTGCTGCACGTGGGGGAAGTCAAGAAGAAGAAATACAACTCTCTCCAGCTCTGGGTGTTTTGTCCAAGCCACACACCAGCACCAATGGTTAGCTGGAAGGGAACCAGCAAAAACTGAGCACTAACAGGAAAACAAGAGGCTACTGAAAACCACTCAGTTCTGGAGGAATTTCAGTACCAGGGTCATGGTCCCAGGCCTTTAGCTTGTGCAGGAGATGGTCATGACAGCCCAGGGACTAGAATCGGCGGGGGGCTGTGAGGTTGAATGCAAGTGTCACTCGTACTCCCTTAGTTAGGAAGAGCTCCTACATGGGAACTGTGGCTAAACAAATAACTCAATTTTAAATTGTATTAGGCAATAAATAAATGACCAGTTTATTATGAATACATGCCTCTGCAACACAATCACTGTATGTGAGCTGTCCTTGGTAGCAAAGAACCAAGCTCCCCTTGCCTGTGAAATCAGAATGTCCTCAAATTGACAGGCCAGGAGCTGAAGTAAGAAGTACATAAATGTTATGTCTGACCACCTTGGGCAACTATCTAAATGTGGTTGCCTCTGGTCTGAAAAAGTCAAAGATTAGTCAAACTACACAGTGGCCTTGATGCCCAGATGAGAAACAGAACTCTCACTCTGTCCCTGCAGTTCAGACTTCTGCCAAGAACCATGACTTTCCCTCGATGTCTCACTCATTGTTACTGAAACCACTTTAACAAACGGCTTGCAGAGGTTGGCCAGTGCTTAGAAACTCCAGAAAATGTAAGAAACTGAAAAGCATTCAGAGGGCCACAGGCTTTAGAAAGTAGGTGTCATTCCACTTTCCAACTGCAATCAATTAGCATTGGTTGTCTGGAGGCCCCTGGGTGAGTGGGAGGGATTTGGGAGCCTTCCTCAGAGAGTGGCAATGACTACAAGGCTGCCAGGGAGGACACCGCAGCCTCTGGGCCCTCACAGTGTAGCTCACATCCCTCTTTGTGTAAATGAGCAAGTGGAGACTCATGGAGGTGAACTGAGGTGACCAAACTAGGGGGGCACAGCCATGCACCTGCAGCACTCTGATGGGAGTGAACCTGACTCTTCCAGCCCCGCTGCGTCAGGCTGGTCAGCAGGAAGCACTCACCCACAACCTGGTTGCAGTCTTCACGCATCATAAGCCACCAGACACTTGTTTCTTAATTTATACTTACAGAGTGGACTGGGGCATGGATTTAGATAAGCATTCAGACTTGATGAACTCCTAGTCCTGAGACTTCATAGCTGGGAAGTCTTCAGAAAGCTATTCCCACCCACCAATACATTTTCCATTTCAGTCATTTTCAATCATGCTCACCCTTCCAAAATCCTAAATTACAACAAACCATCTCTCTGATAGCAAAATGCTCCTTAGAGTATTACTTAGAGTAATACTTAGAGTATCAGAACAATGGAAAGAATCTTCGGCATTCTTTGGAGATCCATCACTCCTAAGATTTCTTTAAACAGCTATCAATCAACACTTAGAAAAATCTCTCCAACCAGACACAGAAGAAACGGTTGCAAAATAGCCCTGGACACCAAACCAAGGTAAATTAATTAGGGTTAAAGCTTATTTCACCTGAACAATTCGCCGGTAGACACGAGGATGACACAGGCCACCCTCTGCCATGTAATTAGAACAAAGCTGTGTTACTGACCCGTTGATTTCACTTTCCAGAAAGTACCGGGACTGTTGAAATTGCACACAGCAATAACCCACCAAGTGGGGGAGATCCAGTGCACTGCAAGACTTCAGTGCCTTCTTCACGCGCCATTTTTGTATCATATTTTTGTGTGTCTCCATGTACTTAAGACAACACCTCTAGTTCCTAATTCCTCCTCCTTTTCTCAGCTGTACATTTTCACTGGTGGGTCCCACGTGACAGAAAAGGTCTGTCCATTTCACACCCTTTACTTCTCTCAATTCTCCTTCAAGCTGTTCTCCTCAGACCCACACCATGGAATGCTCTGAAAAATGTCACTGCTTCATATATGTGTATGGGCTTCCTGACTGCCATGGCTTTCTGAACTCTACCACCACCCACGTGGCAGGTATCCGCAGACTTCTTTAACTACATAAGATGCTGAGATTCAGAAAAGCTGTAACTGGCTTGAGGTTACCCATCACGGAGCGGACAGTTAGGGTAGAGTCTCAAACAGAAGTTCAAAGTTTATTGTACCACAGCATGGTAGATTATAAACGGCCTTCTTTGAACTTCTAACATTTAATCATAAAACCAAAAGCCTCTAGGTGTGTCTTGAATCTAACAGTTTATTAGGGTAATTTCTATGTCTTACTTGTTCTCCATCAATCTTGGCTCTAACGACACATTAACGGCACTAATTACTCTCATTAAAGGCATATTGTCAACAGCAGTTTTAGAATCACTGATCTTGCTTATCCAAGCGTAGTCTTATGGAGACAAAATTGCAGAGACTTTATTAGGTCCTTCAAAGAAAGTCAAAATTTAAAAATACAGGAAAGAAGAGAGCATCATCTGCCAGGTACAATCATAGATGCAGCCAAATCACAGTAACACTTCCTTGTAAACATTTTGTAGACACCTAACAACGAAAAAACTCACGAAAAAAAATGACCAAGAAAAAAAAAATAGACAAAAAAGCATGAGTCACAGTAATCAGTTGGTCAATTTTGGCCAGGGGGCTCAGCCTGGGCCTTTCCTGCAGGCTCTGCAGCCTGTGTAATGCTGCCTTTGGTAAACACAAGGAAAAGAGAGCAGAACAGGACAGAAAGTACTGTGCGTGAACTGTTGTTTTCAACATCGGAAGAAGGGCAATACAATGGTTTGTCTTCTCTCAAGCACTTCCTGTCTTGTGACCCACATCAAGGGCTTCTGCCTGTCCAGAATTAGTCCAAGCTAATACCCAGGTCTTCAACTCTACCTGCATCAGTTCTGGAAACGAAAAGTGTGGCCCAGGAAAATAAAGCATTGGCTTTGTTCTTGTTTAAAAAAAAATTCAGAAATCAGTGTTTTGGCTTAGGGGATTAAGCCACTGCCTGCAGTGATGCTGGTTTGAGTCCCAGCTGTTACTCTTCCAATCCAGCTCCCTGCTAATGAGCCTGGGAAAGTAGTGGAAGATGGTCCCAAGTCCTTGGGCCCCTGCACCCACAGGGGAAACCAGGAAGAAGCTCCTAGCTCCTAACTTTGGATAGGCTCAGCTCTGGCTGTTGTGCCCATTTGAGAAAACAAAACAAAACAAAACAAAACAAAGCAGACAGAAGATCCCTCTCTGTCTCTCCTTCTCTCTTTTTAACCCTGCCTTTCTAATTAAAAATAAGGTATCTAAAAGAATTCAAATTCAAACTACGGA